ACCCAAGGTCTTCCTGGCCTGTATTTGATATATTCCATACCCAATATTTGCCTAGCTTTTCTCTGGGTCTGTTTTCTCCATCATTTATGTCTGCCCAGAGCTCACCTAAGACTTTTTGCTACCTGAGGCTGAAGGAACATCTGATCATGAAAGATGTTGCATTTAGTTACATCTTTCAATACATTTCCAGTTTACTTTTTGTAAAAAATTGCTTTTATATCTCCCACTACAATATACACAGGCTGAATTCGCACATAACAAAAAGCCATGGCAGAATAGACTTTTGGAAGCATGGTGAAACTCAGCATGTTTGGGTTCCCTGAATCGTCATAGGAAAAAGTTGGTCTCTTAGTGTATCCACATTTCAGCATTGCTTGTGCGATGTGTGAATTCAGTTACAATGCTTTCTCAGTTTCCCCTTTTCAATTCTTGAACCTGAAACGTGAGTCTCCTGCACCAGTTGGCGGATTCTGGGATTCTAGGAAACAACAGCAAATAAACTTGCAGTTCTGAAGTCGGCATGTCCCTCAGGTGCTCTGAGGTTTGGTGGGTGCAACTTGTCATGATATAGTGAGGAAAACTTTCTCCCCTTTTCACAAAATGTCTTGCCAGCTCTCTTCTGTGCCAAGAGGCCCTTGTAGATGGCCTTCAATGACATTGGACATTATTTGACTGAAGCATAATTCTGCAAAATTCTTCCCTCTTGGAGAATTCTTGATAACTAATATTGCTACCAACATTTTTGGCCAGAAACACTTGTCACTCAGGACCAGAGTACAGTGTCTTTTATTCTGGGGCATTTGTCCCAGACCAGAATGGAATTTATTAAGAAATAGGCATATTTTTGTTCAGTTGCTCTCAGCCTTGTCTGTTAATGAAACAAATTAATTTTAAAGCCTTTCTTGAGTAAGTTCTTAATTTATTAACAGACTTCCAAAGGATTGGTGGCAGCTAATTAAATTGCATTTTTCACTGAGGCACACATTTGATCGTTCATGAAATATTAAAAACATTCTGTAATATTTCCCCAATATTTCACTTCTCAGCTCTTTCTTTGATTTGATAAAGTAGCTTAAAGGGTACTACAGAATTTAAAGAGTATTTTTGAAAGAATATTATCATATTTCCTCTAAGCAAAACATAAGCAATATTGAAAACACAATATTGAACATTAGTTGATGGGGCTCTCGGGCAGACTTTGAATTTATGGCTTTCTGTGTATCTCTGAGATAGCCATACTAATTTTACTGAGCACTTCTTTGTTCCTTGAAAGAAATATTTCATACAAACTGTAAAATAGCGACATGTTATAACACTTGAAATTAATCTAATCATAACAAAGAATTTCATCATAATCAAATATCACAATAAATGGAAAGTGCATCTCATGTCAGTCAATCAATGTTGATGAGTGCCATTTTGTTTTATTCCTGTATGCAAAAGACTTTGACTACTTTTGAATAAAATGTTTCTGTTTTCTTTTATGTGGATATATTTCACCAGTTTTGACATTTTTACATTTTGCTAGATTTTACCTTTTCATTCTGCTAACAAAGTTTTGGTAGCTTCTATATCCTGGGTAACATCTGAGCCATTTTAATCATATGATATTAATTCCTGACAACTGATAAACAGAAGAATATCAGTATATCAGTATGCCAGGAGATATAAATGCTTAAAATGTTTCTAACCTTTTAATAAGAGAGTGTGATACAGGAAAAATGGTTTGATTATGGCACGTGGACCACGATTACCTTTGGTACGGTTCTTCCCCCAGCATAGGCTTTGGCTGCTATGGGTTTTGCCAAGATGGACCTCCGCTTTCCTGTGTCATTGCAAAAGGTTCTTAAGTGCATCTCTCAAATCACGTGTAGCTTTAGGAACTAGGATCACAAATGTAGAGGAGACCGGAAGGGGAAGTAGAGGGACTCAGATTAACTGGCTCTGCAGGTGGAGTTAAAAAATAAGCCTTTGGTTATAGCTTGAGGGCATGAATTAGAAAAATGTGTATGGAAAAATGCATTGTCTATAAAGGGTGTGAATTATATCAGGGTGATGACATGCATAATGACTCTGGATCAAAGTTTTAGGGTCAAATCAAATACAGGACATTTTCTGTTGTAAACCCTAACCTTAGAGTTAGAAGAGTGATTCCCTTTTCCCTGAACAGGTCTCTCACCCTCTTTTGTTTGGGCTGCTGCTGCTCTTAGATTCTTCCCTTGGAAAGCGGAAATTCTATGGTATTACTGTTTCAAAATAAGGGTGTACAGATGTCAAATGTGTTTAAAATGTGAACTGTGTGTCTGGAAATCCATGGTTCAGACACCACCTTCATTACAAACACATTAAACAGCCTAATGCAAGGGACGGATGCGTTGACTACCCCTCTGTCCTGCACAATCCTTACTCTGTGTGTGAAAGGGCAATTTTAGCATAATTTATAGAATTCTTGCATGAATTACTGGAATAATGAATTTGAAATGCTTTGGACAGTTGAAAGGTGTTACGGAAATGCTAACTATTGATGAAGAGCATGAGCCACAGATCTGGAAATCCTTCAGTCGAGCCTCCTTCTGCTTCACATTTGTAATTGGTGCTGCTAAGAATATTAACTCAGCATAAAGGGTTGTTGCAAGGATTAAATCTAGGCAGTGCACATGAATCACTGCAAACACACAAAAGGAGTTATACATGCCAAGTGTGAGAGACAGTGTGGTACAGTGGTTAGGGTGCCAGACTGGGAACCTGAAAGTTGTGGGTTTCAGTCTCCACTCTGCCATGAAACTTACTGGGTGGCTTTGGGCCAGTCAGTGCCTCTCACGCTAATTGCCCTCACATGGTTTTTGTTTAGGTAAAACGGAGCAGTGTATTATCACTGTTACACTAGATTTATATCTCACCTTTCTTTCTCTTGCAAGGAACCTGAGGTGGCATATAATTTCCTCTTCTCCATTTTATCCTCACAACAACCCCATGAAGTAGGTTGCTATGGGTTCCTTGCGAGAAGGAAGAAGGCAAGATATAAATGCAAAGTAATAATTAGTGGAGAATTAATGCTGAGTGGAGAGAGTTAAAGAGGGGTTAATGTTGTGCAGGGAATCTTACTCCAGATTCAAATTCCCACTCAGCCATAGAATCATAGATTAGTAGAGTTGGAAGTGGCCAAGAAGGCCCTCAGGTTCAACCCCCTGCTGCTGCTGGACACTAACTTACACCATCCCAATCAGGTGGCTGTCCAGTTTCTTTTTGCATGTCTCCAGTGTGGGAGAGCCCACCACCTCTCCAGGCAGCTGGTTCCACTCTCATATTGCTCCGATAGTGGGGAAACTTTTCCTGATATCTAGCCTGAACTTGAGTTGTCACAGCTTGACTTGATTATTCTGTGTCCTACACTCTGGTATCAGTGAGATCTTGACCTTCCTCTATGTGACAGCCTTTGAGGTACTCCTAGAGGGATATCATGTCCCCCCTCCGTCTTCTCTTCTCAAGGCTGAACATGCCCAGTTCTCTCACTCTCTCCTCAGAGGGCAGTATTTCCAAACCCTGGTTCATTTTTGTTGCCCTCCTCTGGACCCTTTCTAATTTTTCTGCATCTTTCTTAAATCTTGGTGCCCAGAACTGGGCACAGTATTCCAGATGAGGTCTGACTAGTGAAGAGTATAGGGGAACTACTACCTCTTGCAGTTTGGAAGTAATACTTCTATTAATGCTTCCCAAAATAGCATTTCCCTTTTTTGCAACTGCATTGCATTGTTGGCTCATATTTAACCTCAAAGAAGTTCCTAGTTGGTTCTTTAGCTAGACATACAGTCCTACATCATGGCTTTGTACGGAGCATGAAGGATGTGAGCTTTGTATATTGTCTTTGAGGGGAGGCAGAGTTAGAAGTACAATAATCAGCTCTTGAGGTTTGTGAACAGATGAAAATTCGTGGAAAGAGATACCCTTGTTACTTTGTGGGAAATGCAACATTCTAGCAGTTAAAGATATTAAAAAGATTGCAAAAATGTACACATGTCCGTTCTGTAATGCAGAATTGTTATGTTTTAAAGGGAGAGGCAAATAAGATGCTTCCATACATGAGGCTAATGACGTTGTGACTGAGGTCTGCCTGGGGTAGCCTGCTCGCTCCCAGGAAAGCTGTTACCAGAGAAGCTGCTCCTGGCCTTAATGATTCACTCACCTGTTAGATGGGAGGATTTGAAGGTCAAGTTTTGATAGATCCTTTAGGAACATTTTGTTGGTTGTCATTGTCTTATAGATACCAATGAACTGGTAGAGTCTGAGAAATGGTAACTTACTGCTTGCAGATTCTGACTGAGACTGTAGGAAAGTGGCAGTTCCAGACTGTCAAGGATGTGGTGTGATTTGGTTACCAGTGCCAGACAAGGACAGCCCATAAAGACGGAGATGGAAGACTAGTGGAAATGACTAAAGACTGAGTCTTCAAGACTTAGCCAAGAGAAGGAATCAGAGGTGTTTCTCCGGGATAACTTCTTGCCAAAGGAAAGCTGTACAGAAAGCAAGTGCCCTCAAGAAACAGGAATTTTTAAGAGGAGGCAACTGACATCTTCTTGGCTGCATCCTTGCCTTTTAGGAGTAGTTGAAGTGAAGCTGCCGGAGAAAGAGCTTCTTAGTCTCAATAAGCTAAGCTCAGTGGCAGCTGAAGGACTGTGTGAGACCCAATATCCTTTCTGTGCATCCAGCTGGAGAAATTGCACTTCCGTTTTCTCTGCCATTCTAGGAGAGCTGGAGTGGCATAAAGGAAAGAATAAGCAGTTAAGGAATAGCACTGGTGGAAGAAGGATGGATAGTTAGATGGTTTGTGGTTGGGGAACATTTGGTAGAATAGAAACCCATTAATAGGGGTGGCAGGCAGGAGAACAAACCTGCACAAGCCAGAAACTCATTTGCTATTTTATAATGGTGTAACACATATCAGTATCTTAAATATTGTTAGATTAAGCTGAGATCTTTTTCAAATTACTTTTATCTTACAGCTCTCATTTGCGGCAACAACGCCAGAATTAGCTGATAAGAAAAAGTATCCTTATTTCTTCCGGACAGTACCATCCGATAATGCTGTGAACCCTGCCATTTTGAAGTTGCTCAAATATTTTCAGTGGAAAAGAGTGGGGACACTGACTCAAGATATACGAAGATTTTCTGAGGTAAGAGCCAAAGATGAAGGCCAAGGTGACATGAGGTAGGGGAATAGGAAAAATTCAGGGGAGAAAAAGAGCTTCCCTCCCCAACCCTTTTAAAGGTTCTGTTTTGGTGTTTCCCTCCCAAATAGTAACATCTTTTCTTACAGAATAGAGCACAACATATTTAGCCATATTCTCTTAACTTTGGTATGTGATGCCCAGAGTGTTCATATATTGTCACCAGACTTTTGTCCTCCCGTTCCCGCAAATGTTTTCTACTCCTCAGTATCCTTGTACCTATGGCATGGACAAAGATTGGCAATCGCCAGAGAAATTTCTCAAAGTGTGCAGAAATTAAGGTGCTTATCCAAGGAAAAATATTTACAAAAGGGAATAAAAATATTTATCATCACATAATAAAAAAGATTGTTTAAGGTTCTTAAATATGTTTGGGTATTGTTCCTAACAAGTGAAAGAGGCTTTCCCAGCTAAGGGCTGTCAGTAGGTTTTCGTCCAGGTGCAATTTCCGTGAATTCTGCCCTCACAACCAGGAAGAGATACTGTCTTCCTCCTTCTTACAGCTGCTTCGGTTGCTATAAAGCTCTCTCGGGATTACTCGCAGACATTCTCTCTGGTCAAAGAGCAGGAACCTAACATGAATCATATGCACCTTGGTTTGCTCTTAAAATTATGTTTTTATATATTGATTGAAAAGCATGTTCTATTCAGATAGCCGTGACTAATTATTATCTCAGTGTGGTATCGTGGTAAGAATGTTGGACTGGAGCTCAGGAGTTCCACTCTCCCATTAAGGCATGAAGCTTTCTGGGTGACTTTGGACTGGTCACAGACACTCTAACCAACTTCACAGGATAGTGGTGAGGAAGGATGGAGAGGTGGATGACAATTATGTAAGCCACCTGGATTCTCTGAAGGAACAAAGGTGGAAAATAAATACAATAAATGCATTTCCTCAGTATACTTTTACATGTTCTAATATAAGGGCAGTTATATGAGCAAACCAAGTTATCCATAATCTGTTTTTATTTTCCTAAAATAATAAAGTGACTATAAAGTTCACTTAAAAATAGACTTTACATATATATTTCATTTCCCCCTAAATTTACATTTTGTTTTGGCCATGAAACATCCAGAAATTTTACATCACCAAAGCTATGAAGAAAACATCTAAGCTAATTTGCTATATTTTCTTAGCTATTTTCCTATATTAGATGATTGCAAATGTCCCATGCTGTTCTCACAAGAGCTGTGCTGGTGATGGTGGATAGACGTATTTTTCAAAAACTGCTAATGGAAAGCAGGTTAGGAAGTTTTTAAATTTTGTCTACTCTGGGATGTATAATATTTGCATATATGAATGTGTCATTTTAATGGAGAAATATGGTGACTGCAGCACAGTAATCCATTTGAAGTCCCACAATGCAGGAATGACTGTATCATTCACATTTTCTGGCATGTTGACTTGGTCCTGAGAATGCGTGTTCTTGTTGATGAGAAATTAACCAATGAAATGGTTGATATCAGCCCTCCCTAAACTGGTGCATCTCTGGTGTTTTAAACTACAGTTCCCATTGGACTCAGATTGTGTGACCAATCATCAGAGATAATGGGAGCTGTAATCCAAAATTTATGGAGCACTAAGAAACCTGGTCCTTTCTTAGTACTTTTTTTTCAGATATTGGAGCATGGGTAAAACAACGAAGCTAAGATTCACAAGAATAAGTCTTGACTCTTTAAGAGTCAGGGCTGAAACAAGAATCTCCAGCGGTGAAAGTACATATTGATTGTCAGATAAAACAATATTCTCTAAAAACACATACAACACACAGGTCCCTCAAACTATGATTTCCAATTCAACGCTTGCTATCCCAGGTAATTGTCTAGCAAGAATTTGATACAACTTGCCAAGTGGGTTTGGTATTCCTTGACAATGTGTAATTCTCTTTATTCTGATTCCTTGAGTGGGGAGCTTCCTGTATTAAGTGAGTCTTTCTTGCTGTCCGTATATGTGGGCTTTTATGATTTTATGGCTGTCATGAATGTCTTGTGCAGGAGGAAAAAGTATTGCATTTGTCAACTGATTTTCACAAAATTGCTGTACTCCTAGTCCAAGGTCAAAGTTTGCATTTGTGTGAAGTATGTGACCGAGAAACTATAGCAACGATGCATCTTCTGCATATAGTGTTTCTTCCCCCAGTGCCAAATGTTCTGTAAGTCTTCTAGTTTGGAGGGGTCTCCCCCTCTGGAGTTAAATTCCAGGATTAACGCATAGGACCCAAATGCGTCGTTAAAACCCACGGTTAAGAAGAGAAAAATAACCAGCTGTAAAACCATTAGATAGACATGTAGGGAGTTGGGAAGCTGCCTTTAGTTCTACTTTTGTCTCCTTGCTCTGCCTGCATATCTCAGAGCCAGTGTGGTACAGTGGTTAAGAGCCTGGGACTGGGACTCAGGTGATCTGGGTTCGAGTCCCCGCTCGGCCATGGAGCCAACTGGGTGACTTTGGGCCAGTCACAGACTCTCAGCCCAACCTACCTCACAGGGTGGTTGTTGTGGGGATAAGATGGAGGAGGAGAATGATGTAAGCTGCCTGGAGCCCTTTGTAGGAAAAAGGCAGGATATAAATCACAATATAAATAAATAAATAAATAAATAAATAAATAAATAAATAAATAAATAAATAAAAAATAATGACCCTGATTAAAGCTTCCAGTTGTTTTAGTGCAATGCATAGTTGGACAGGTTTTACTCTGTACCTCCAAGACCTTCATCTATTCAGCTAATTATGCCCATACTTTCATCCTACAGTAGCTAAAAATTCTAGCCAGTTTCTCTCCAGATTATTCTGTGTCAGCTTCTAGTGCAGACAACCCAAAAGCAATCCAAACGTGTCACTATCAAAGGGCAGAACATGAGACCCATCTCTTTCTCCGACTTGTGTTCCGATAGTAATGGAGGTACTGCTATTGATCCACCTCTGGGACAGCAGCTTACTTCTCACACATATAGGGGATGCACAGGGACCATGAAGAAGAAAGACCTGTGCCTGCAGTTCTCCTTGGGGCCATCTTGGGATTCACGCTACCCTCCCTGCTTTGGTATTGAATTTTGTGGATGCTGGAGTGGTTCTTGCATGTTTTTTTCTCTGACAACAGTATGAAATGTGCTACCTATGTTGGCACTGCCCGTCGTAATGTCTTTCAGGAATGCAACAAGCAAGCTCAGGGATTTGGGGAAATAGACGGGAACCCGCTGGGGACATGTGCAGTGGGGTGGTGGGAAAGGTTTCCTTAGCCGTAGAAGCTTCTTGAAGTGAGGCCCAATGCAGGTAACAGTCTGTATGTGTGAATGCAGTTGACCACCTGAAGAAATGCAATGACAGGTAAGAAAGCTGCTGTTTTCTCTGCCTCCCCCCCAGGTCCTGCCACTCCCTTCCATGTGCACACATGGGAGAGAGAGAGAAGGATGAGAGAAGGGGCTGAGAAGGAAGAGAAAAAGAGCAAGGCTAGAGGCTGGGAGGAGGAGGAATAGTGAGATAGAGGTGAGAGGGAGAGAAGGAGTGAGGCAAGTGGATGGAGGGGTGGAGAATAATGAGATTGGGGGTAGAAGAAATATTGCGACTGGATGCTTTGAGGAAAAGTAACGCAACGGGAGAGCGTTGGGGAGAAAGAGCAGAAATACAACTGGAGAGTGGAGCAAGCACAGAGGAAAAGTCTGTACTGGAGGAGGAAGATTGGCTGGGGCCTGGTAGCAGATTCAGAAACTGGAAACTAGTTTTTCAAGGTTTTTATTTAACACACACACACACACACACACACACACACACACACACACACACGAGGGCCAGGAATGAAAAGCTTTGCAGGCAATGTTGCAGTGCCTGTAGGTGTTGAGGCCCAGTGGGGTAACCCATTGTTAGAGCTGGCATGTTTGAGTTAGAGTTACTAAATTAAACTTCTAGCAAGGTGGGCGGATGCCCCCAGTTGATTTGTGTCTATGAAAGCAGGATGCAGCATTTCTGTAGTAATCTGGCCAATGGGATGAGCCGCTCTTAGGATGTCGTACCAATTTTCTGTAAAAAGAAAGAGTCCTTTGCTCCCCATTGAGACCCTACAAGGAAGAACCAGTCCTCGTAGGTCTGTTTTAAGTTCCCTATTCAGCAGTGAAAATCAATATGCACATCTAACATCAGGGAGGAGGCTGGAAGGAAAAGGTAAATGAAATCTTTCTTGTATCGCAGCCAACTTTCTAGGGTTATTGATATAAACATTGAATAGAAAGGCAGATGGGAAGTATAGAATAAGAACTGAATGGCTATGTTTGACTGCATCTGACAGGAGCAAAAACTAGTCTTTCTGCAAGTTTGATCAGGTTTGGCATTAACGGTGACGGTTCTTTTTCAAGTTACGCAGACTATTAATAAACTTAAACTATGAAAAATATGAAAAATAAAAAAGATTATTTTTTTAAGTCGTCATGGTAAATCCTTGTAGTACCAAAAGAGCTCCAACTGTGTTTCTTGAAGTGAGTTTAGTCTTTCAGGATCCTTTTGGATAAAAGAAGATTTGTCATCCTTATTTAAATTTTACATGGTTTCCCCCCTCTTCTGATATAAAACAAATAAATGCTTGTGAAGTTGCTTGCACAGTAAAACATTGCAGAAATAAAAGATTGAAATAATTACTGAGAAGACTTTAAGACCATCTTCAGAAGTTCTTCTCCAGGTGATCTGGCCAAACGGGGATACTAAAAAGGGGGCAGTTTCAACCATGGTGCCACAACTCCAGAATGCCCCTCAAGAGAAGCTCACCGGGCACCTACATTGTGTCACCGACAAGAGCCCATATGAAGCCCCAGACTTGTGCCCAGGTGGTGGAATGAGCCAGAATTCACTGTAGCTTTGCAGCTTCTGCAGTTGGTTGTTACATGTAAACCAGGAATTCCAGTTTAAAATAAACTGTTTTGTTAAGCCAGCAGAATAAGCTAGCATTTGATATTGGCTT